TCGCCCATGCATAACTGGGACATTACCGTCGCTCTCCTTTATCATGATTCTACAAGACTATGTACTCAACAGAAAACATAAACAGCGTAATGCAGTAAACCTGTGAATCAAAGTACACTATAATATCTCATTAGAAGCAATAATACAAGTCTTTCTGCACTGAGAAGATAATAATTTGGATCAGTGATCCTATCAACCAACAAATGATGAGAGAAATTGTCGACATGGGAGAAAAACCCATTTATATGTTTGTGAGAAAATATTAGCATAGATAAGGCAGCAGCAAAAGAAGAAAACTTATATAGCAAAGAACAAATATAGAGAACAACCCTCACACAGATCCAACCAAATGTCATATAAATCACACACACACACACACACACACACATATATATACATATATATATATATATATTTTCATTGTCATAGACCAACATCGACAAAACAAAATTTGACAACAAAACAATTTAGGTAAAAAAAGTTTAAATTTGAAATGCGACTAGGCTATGCTTTCAGCCGTACTAAAAACAGTTCAAATACTAGGATGAGGATTCTCAAATTACATGGTTAATATCTAGGGGTCTAGATCATTTACTATTTATGCAACAGGTTGTGTAAATATGATTGCAAATAAAATGAACACCTTGGTGGGAAGATTTCAGGGAAGATATCCTTTTCAATGTTATTGTTCGTTTCATTTTCAAGCAGTTAGATTTCGATTAAGTGCAACATCATTATTTTCGTCAACCACTCAAACTATTGAAACATGTGCAACCATGGGTTCTTTTGGGTTCGTTCCGACTTAACCTGTCTATCCTAGTAGATTTATAGATATTATTTTGGTCAACTTTCAATGTGCATCAGAAAACAATTGCATCATAGACAGCATCAGACTGAAATTGGAGCTTATCATTTAGATGTTCAAATAAAAATGTGAAGTGTGAGAGCAGGGAAAATTAAAACTAAAGGTAAAGCAATACATATCAAGATATGGATGCTTAATGCATCTCCAACACCACGAGAAAGTTCCAAACTTGCTTCATCAACATAAAGGTACATACAGACTAAGATCTAAGCTTAGAAACGCAAGGAACACAATCACTTGCCAAATAAACAAAGTAAACTAATACAAACTCTTTATTCAATCCTCCAGCCTTCATAATTCTTATTTAGGCATCCCATGCTTGCATCCAAGATTCAAGGCAGTTCCATCATCATAGAAGAATTACATTGATTCCCATTGTATGCAGCTCAAATGAAAGAAACACAACATTCAATATGTAAATAGATACTACGTGTACATAGTACAAGAACCAAGTTACTGCTGAGTTGTCCAGGTGCAGTGTGGATTGGCAATTTTTTCTTGCAAGTTCGCATTATAGGACATGATTTGGTCATAAGCTCGAATATAGAGTGACATGATTTGGTCATAAGCTCAAATATAGAGTGACATGATTTGGTCACATCTATGGGTTCATTAGACTAACTTAAGCAGTTGCATTGACATAGCCAAGCTGTTGCATTAGGTTCATCCAGAAGCCTGATAAACAAAACCCTGTAAAGAGAAACATAATTGTTGGGATATATCTTCATTCAAAGGAACATTGTCTTTTCACATTTGTTAATCAGGCGTGGATCTTTTGAGTAGTAGGCCGAAGTATGGTAGGACTCATGTAAAAAGAAGTGTAGTTTCAGCGATGGCAAACTATTGATGGATTGAGAGGTAAATCAGTTGATATTTCAAAAACCTTATATGGGATGATTTAAGTGTAACGCATAACAATGATTCAGAAAAGAGCTCAAGGATATACATTTATCCTCTATTTGGTCAATTCAATATAAAGAACTTAGATACCATTTTCCCAACAAATACAAATCTTGAGAATGCTCTATACCTCACACCATAACACCAACCCTGGGACATTAGAAAAATACAACCATGTTCTTTCCCATCTTTTCCTAAAGCAAGTTTCTGCATACCTTCAATTATAAATTTCTAAGTCACACAAACTTGCATACGCAATACTCAAAACGCAGCAAATTCCAAATTACCAACTCCGAAAATACTAAACCCTGAGTGTTCAAATTGAACTCCTCCACGACAAGTTTTAGGTTTTCAATTTCAGCGTATACCACAAAACCATAAAGATAACTAAATTAATCTCAACATACTGCACAAATAGCTTCCGCGATGTAATCCTTGACACAATCATCAAGATACATACACAAAAACCACATATAAATCAATTTCTTATTGCAATTTACAACAAAGAAAAACGAAAACCGTACAAACTTACTATCGAATCTGAGTTAGCGGAAGCTGAAAGCAATATAGAACAGAGTTCGTAGAGAGAATAGACATATGCATATATATATATATATATATATAAGTATATATAGCAAGAAAAAACAGACCTGATTTAGAGGGGAGAGAATAATCTGTATGGAAGTAAAGAAGATATTCGCTGTACTTAGCTTAAATTATGCAATGATTCCAACTAATTATTGTGTAATAAAAGCCACTAACATCATTTTTATTCTTGAAAGAAACTTGGTGTGTTCATTATCATGTATGATGTGTGTTCAAAAGGATATATGGTGAGATCGCTGATATTTACATGGCGTGGATGACAAATGGAGCTACATTTTAGTTCTTTAAAGTTTAAAAGAGTAAGTAACATTCAAATAATGGAGAAGTGGTTAAGTGGGATATTTATTGTTACAAATGGTTGATCGTTTTTGCCATCAAACTCAATAGGAAACAAGAAATAAGTGATTGGTAGTCTTATGAAGAGCATTAAAGGCATGATAATAAAAGTTCTTTTAGAGCTCGGTGGAGGGATGGACATCCATTCGCGGTTGTTGCATGAATCGGTCGGTATTTTCATGCGATAAAGAGCAAAAAAGATAGGGTTGCTTATGAAAGTACACTAAATGGGCCAGATACTGAATCTACGAAGGGGTATGGGATGGGATAATATACTTGTGGGCGAGGAGGACAAAGTCTATTTTGATAAAATTTGGTAGGAGATTTTAAAGAAGCATATTACTTAGGGGCAGTACGGTTCGTTTTCCATTAAAACCTATATTAATAAAGTTGTCTACATTGATAAAATTGTCTATATGATATAAGATAAATTGTTGTTCGGTTGTTATGCTAAATAAACAGTTTGAATGTTAGAAATGACCAATTTCTGCAATCCATATTTTTTCTGAAAAATAACTATTTAATAAAAATATTGAATAAATGATTAGAAAAATTATCAATTTAAACTTGATCTAACATCATAGTGTGAATTTGATGTTATAATCAGACAACATTAACCTCTGGAACAAAATTTCCTTGTCTAGTGAAATAGGGGTACGAGTTTGTGGCTTCTCAAAAATCCTTGAACTATTGCGAGGCCATACTAGTATGCAACTCAAGTTTTAGGTGAAGCTCAAATAAAATAATTTTAGAGCATCAACACATAAATGCCCAATGAACCAACTTGTAAGGGCTTAGTTAAGAAAGTGAAAAACAGAGGCAACTAATTGATATTGAGCTCAGCAAGGAACTCGATAGCTTCCTATTGCACACTTGCAACCTGAATAAATAACTAGGAGTGTTAAAAAAAAACCGTTGGAACGTTCAAACCGGTCGAATCAAGTTAAACCGGACCGTTTTTGGTGGTTTGAACGGTCTGGCGGTTTGGTCTGGTTTGGAAAATAGAAAAATCAGGCGGTCCAGTCCGGCCTGCAGTCTGTAACCTTTTTTTGGGTAGTTTGGACCAAACCGACCGCCAAATACATATATAGAATACTATAAGGTACTCGTGCAATGCAGCGAGATACATCTCGATTTTAATGTTTTATTTTATTTTTTGTCTTTGTCGATATTGTAATACGATATTATGTGTTTTTAAGAAGACAATAGTGATTTTATTTTTGAATAAAATATGAATTTGAAAATATCATAAAAATTTGATATATATATATATATATATATATATCAATGTCAGTATCAAATCAACTATCTAAAAGTTTTCATCTTTTATGTAATTTTTTTATTTTATTTTTAGTATAAATTAATTTAATTTTAATAATGAAATAATTTATTTTGGTTTGATAATATAACTTTTTATAAAGATAATAATTAAGTATTTTGTTAGAACTCAATGATTATCCTAATTATATTTTAGATTTTTTTATATTTAAAATGAGATGTTTATTCTGTATTTGATTATGTTTATTTGCAGTTAGTTACACGAATTCAGATATGGAGCTTTAATAAGTACAACTTACGCACAATCTACTTGTAATCTTGAGTTTTAAGTAACATGCATTAATAAGCAGTACTTTATGCATAA